ATATGACTATTATGTGACTACAGTTTGTATAACAGGTTGAACAGGATTAACAGTAAGAATATGACTATTATGTGAATGTGACTGTGCTTTGTAAAACATTATAATTATCAGACAGTAGAAGTATGAATATGACTATTATGTGACTACAGTTTGTATAGCAGACTGAACATGACAGTGGGAATATGACTATTATGAAAAGAGACTGAACATGACAGTGGGAATATAACAGACCGAACCTTCTTTCTCTCCTTCCTGTTCTGTACAATAAATTCAACAATGATTTTAGAAGCTCTAGAATGCACAACATTTCTTCAAAATACTTAACAATTTGAAACTTTTTACGACACAAGCAACAAATTTGAATCATAAAACATTAAAACTGTTACGCCATCATCACTCTAAAAATGTGCAGTAGAAATAAAACTCAACTACAACACATGCCCAATTTCTCAACTTTTTTCATACAGAAACATCCATAGGTATAGCAAAACAAACGACCGATGTTAATCAGCTTCCCTAATGCTATAATAGAATATATTTTAAAAAAAAACAATTATTTCAATTGAGTGAAAACTTACACTGACTAAACTTGAATTTATAAAGCAAAATCGAAGAATCCAAAACAAAGAAAGAAAAAAAAAATTGTTCCAACAATATCCCCACACATGATTTCATATTGCACAAATAACCTAAAAAATCGTAAGGACGGAAAAATACATAATCAACAAGGGGGGAAAATTACATCAATAGAGAATAGAAACGGAAAATTACCCGCTTCAATTCCTTTTTGCGGATCTCTTTGCGGTAGGAATCGGTAGGGTTCATCGTTTTGCCTCCCTTCGTCGTCTTCACCATTGTGACTGCTTTTCAATAATCTGTAAACCGAGTTTTCTATCCTCAATCGTCGTTCTCCGTCGAGGAAGATATCCCAAATGGGTGTCGTCGATAAATAAAACCTCGCTGCGAATTCGATTTTGAGTGTTTTTGCAGAGGATTAAGCAAAATACGGAGACGAGAATTTGATTAGAAATAGTGATTTGGGTTCGGGTCGGGTTTTCATCTAAACGGGTAAAGCATGAAAAGAGAGTTAAACGTTTTGCAGAAGAATGAAAAAAAAAATTGCAGAAGAAGGAAAAGAAAAAAGTAAAAAAAAAAAAAAAAAAGAATAGAAATTATGAAAGACAGAGAGTTTTACCGTGAGAGAGGGAGAATGAATCGTGAGAGGGGTACGCAGAGTATGGAATATAATTAAACTCTAACACATATGGGCAGTTTAGTCTTATCATATTTGGTAAGGGGGGTCTCACTAATTTAGATTGGGATTTGGGTTATGGGAAAAGTCTTTAAAGTCAATTGGGTTTAATTCAAAATATTTTCTAAATGAGGGGGGTATTGCATATTTCCCCTTTAATATCATCTCAATCTCCAATATAAAATACATACAAAATTATTCTTTCTCTAATATTTTTCCCCTAAAATACTTCCTCCAATATTATGAAATTGATTCTCAAAAGCCTTCAAAAAACATTTAAGATGTTTAATTCTTTATATTAGATCTAATTTAAAATTGTTATAATACAGAATCAAACAATACAATATGAAATATTTCACCTCAATTTCCCAATAAAATGTACATACAAATATTAAACTTTTTCTCATATGTTCCTCAAAACCTTTCTAAACATATAAAAGATGTTTAATTCCTTATATCATATCTAATATTAAAATTGTTAAAATCGAGTACCAAACAAGATATTTTCATATTCTTTCCAGTTACGCAGATAATCAAATCATATTTCATCACGTTTTAGGATGAAAAAAATCGTATTATTTTCTTCACTTTAGTCACTTCATTAAAAATCAATCGAATACGATGATCGTTAGTAGTCACATCTAATAGCAATTTTTAATTATTATATATCATTGTCGCCTTAACTGATTTGAATCTTTCAACCAAACATATAACTAGTCATTGTAACTTCACGGTACATTAGTTGCGCCACCGGAAAAAGTTGTATGAATGATACATAAGAGTTAAGTATTATTAAAAAATAGTTTATAAAGATAAGTGTTACGTAGAATATACTTTAGAGATTTAGAATATATATTAACTTCTGAGTGAGCCTAGTAAAATAGTTTAAAAATATGTGGACAAGGATGGGTCAACACATTCTTGTCTCTTTTATCATATGCCTAACTTTATACATATGAAACAAACAGGTCCCACATGAAGTAATGTAGGGGTAAAATATTTGGAGAATCAACTAGACCACGGGATGAGTTTAGATTTGAAACTTTCTACGTTTCAAATTAACTGTCACTTTGAAAAAAAAAATTCATATTACATGCACTTTATAATTCCAATAATGTAGTAATTGTCATTTTCTCAATTTTGTCAATATTTCTTTTAATTGGTTGAGAAAGAATAGGTGAAAATAAAATCAATGAAAAGAGTATTATAGTCAAATCGAATATATTTTCTCTAAAATTCTTAAATATTTTTTAGTTTTCTTAATACATGCACACCAATTCAAAGCGCACTTTTTTTCTCATTGACTTCTCAAACTAAATTTATGTTTATGTATTAAGCTTTTCAAAAGAAAGTTAAAAGTTTTTTTCCCTCAAACATGATTTGAGTGCAATTGTACAAAAAATCATTAAGAAACAAATACATACCAATTTATTTTTCGAATTATTATTTAAAATACTTTTTCCAACTCATTTAGACTTATGATTTGACTGTTAATTATTTTGAAAATACAAATAAACACTGCTTTCATTCTTAAAAAAATATTCAAATTAAAATGCAAAACAGTTTGATTAAGCTTCCAAACATTGCCTAAGAGTTGTTTGCAAGTCTTCTTTTTAAATACAAATACATATTACTTTATTTATCAAATTCTTGTTCCGAACATCGATGTGCCCCAAAATTAAGCCTACACATTCACCCCTGTAAACATAAATCTTGGAATCTCCACTCTCCACTCTAAGCGAGGCTTTGAGCGTGTGTACTATTTTTGAACTACGGTTCCATCTTTTGTTACCCTTCAAAATCCCTTTTGAGATGATTTTTCTATATTTGCGCTCTCCATTATTATTTAAGTATCGTTTCAAGTCAATACGCACCAGTTAAGAATAGTTATGACTAAATAGTCTTGATTTCAGACGAAAAAATCGTCACTTGACAGAACTACCCCTTTGCGTTCGTCAACTTTATCTTTTTACTTCATTAACGTATCATTAATGCTGGGTAAAATTGAAGATTTTGTTTTTCCTACTCAAAAACTCCAAAGTGACATTTAATATGAAAAAACAGAAAAAAAAAATTAGCTAACGAGACACTTGTAAAGAAACCTAAACTATACATCAAATTTTCAAGAAAAAGAAAAATAAAAGCATCACCTCGAAAGAATGCATTGGTTGGTCCAAACTGATCTTTAATAATAAAAAAAAGAAAAGAATTTGTAATAAAGTTACAACTTATTACAATGTCTTGTCTATTCAATATATGTATATTTTAATAATTGACCATGTTTCATAGTAAAACACAACAGATTTGACTAGAATTATGTCTGCGGATTTCCTAGGGGTATAAACGACATTTATCGTTTTTGTACAGAAAATCGAACAGGCTACTGTACAAAAGTTTCCCTCCAATATATATTTGACTATTTTCGTCAAATTTCAAACATTTTGATCCTCAAAACATGTTACCGCCTTTTTATTGGATTATATATATTATTTTTTAAACTGAATATTTTACAAATAGATTATGAATTTTCTTTCTTCTAACCGTCAATTTTTAAGTATTTGCAAAATAAAATTTTACTTTTGTTTCTCTTAAAATGAACAAATTTAAGTTATAATTTATTAAAACCGATGACCTACTTTTTCTATTTGACTTTATTTTCTCATAAATTTGCAAACACGTCCAACTTTTCACAATCTATAACTTTTTAATTGTAAATAAGTTTTTGCAAACACCACCTTTATGAATCAAATTCGGAATTATGGAAATTGAAATGGAATGATTTGTTTCACATTGTAAATTGTAATGTTTTAAATTGAAATCGACGAAAAAAATATATCTACATATAGGGGGAAAACGTAATAGTATTGATATTCTAAAGTGTCATTTTAAATATAAAATGAAAATTGTGGGATTATTTTCGCTCATTAAAATTGAGGTGGTGTTTACAAAAGCTTATTTAAATGCAAGAGTTAATGATTCTGAGTTAAATTGTAATTAAGTGTTTATATTAAAAAATTGGGAATGTTTACAAATTAATTGAAATAGAAAAAGCATGTATATGTGTGTTTTTAAAATTATAGCTTAAAACAACTTATTTTAAGAGAAGCAAAAACAAAAATTTGTTTCGCAAACACCTAAAAGCAGATTATGGTGGGATTTGCAAAAACTTTTACAAATAGATTATGATTTTTTTCTCACATAATCTGTTTTTAAGTGTTTGCAAAAACAACTTTGCTTTTGCTTCTCTTACAATAAACAATTTTAAGCAATAATTTGTTAATCACCCATGACCCTGCTTTTTTATTTAAGTTAATTTTCCAGTATATTTGCAAACACACCCAACGTTTATAAATAAACACTTAAAATCAATTTAACTCACAATACATAACTGCTGCTTTTAAATAAGATTTTGCAAACACCACCTAGTGCAGAAAAAAAATCATAATCTATTTCTAAAAGTTTTTGCAATAAATCCCAAAATTCCAATAAAACAGGTAGTTCAATCCCAAAATTAATATATACTTCAATTCCAATAAAAAAATTCAAAAAAATAAATTTGGAATTCAGAATGAAAGATATTATTCTGAAATCGGATTTTTTTTAAAAATCAAAATCGGCGAAATTCGTTCAAATTTTCAACCCTACACGTAAACCATCGCTCGACTTCCAAGTCATGCAAACTCTCTTTTAAACTAAAATCCATTAGAGCACAATAAATTTAGCTTACCATCTCATATTGTAATAAACATTAATATAGGGGCAACCAACACATTAAACATAGCAGATTTTATCTTCAATTACTGTACAACTGTATGCAATAAAGAAAACAGAGCAATTCTGTTCACCTATTGAAGGATGCAAAGCGAATAAATCATTAAACTATATTGAAAATAAATACGATAATAGGACCAGAAATTCCGAATGTAGTTACTCAGCCCTACCGTCTAAATTTTTCACCAATCAATTCCCAATTCTCTCGAGTTGAATAGCTGGTCAACGTACTTAACCACTGCGTTTGCCGACAATACGTAGTTCTGCATCTGAATTCTCGCTGATGTTTCTGAAAGAGAAACAATACGCCTCGTAAAAACAGAGTATTGGAGAAAATAATTTAATCATATGACAAGTTACTGCCAAAACGGAACTATCAAGCTCTCAATTGTACGAATAAAACTAAAGAGTGTACACGAAGGCGAATCATATTCAATCAAAACGAATCATATTTAAGGTACACAAATTACAAAACAAGAATCGCACACCAAAGAAAAAAGAAAAAAAAACTCACCATCTTCGTTTAGTTTATTCAATAATTGTGCTTTTGTCGGAAGGGCATACATTCCGGCCGCCACAGCTTTTCTGATAGCCCATCCATGGTAGGGAGCAAACACTTGTGTATAAGCTTTTGAAGCGGGGTCTTTTAGGGAATTTCCCCTGTCAAATAGCAAGGTTCAGTACTTGCATGATCATGCTCCGTGGTATGATTGATTTACGATCAATATCATCAAGATCATTATTGAACCAAAAAGTTTGTTCCCGAATACGAAAATAAAATAAACTTGGTCTTCCTAGTTTTTTTTAGTGTAAATTACACGAGGTATGCTAAAGTAACTTTAAGGTCCACGTGGTATCGGTAATTAAATCACCCCTAAAACATTGATAGAAACCCTAACAAAATAATGCATTGGATAAGTTATTCCGTTAGAATTCTAACGGACAATTAGTTTCAAGCAGTGGTGGAGACAACATAGAGTTAGGTGTTAACATGGCTCTCCTAACATTTCTTAAAAATCTTATGATTTTATATAAGATTTATAAATTTTTGTTTATGGTAGCATTAACGGCCCCCGGGAAACAAATATAGTGCATCTCGGTCCCCAGGACATGAAATCTTGGCTTCGGTAATTGTTTCAGGGATATGGGCATAATTACTAATACCACAGGGACCTCAAAGTTATTTTAGCATACCTCAGGAGTGTAGGTGTAATTTACCCTTTTTTTTAAGTAACAAGATGTATACACTATGCACAACAACTTAATAAAAGCAGCATCCATGGGGACGGAAATATATGCGAAAGGCATCTTTTTTCAAATTGACGGAGATATATGCGAATGGCATCTTTTTTCAAATTTTTAAGATTATTTCACGGCTACACATTTTGCATGATTTATGGGCAAAAAATAGTTCGCTGGTTCGTCTCTTAAAAACCTCGTATGTACTACGCAATACTAATACTAATGACAGTATACATATCGTACAAGATTTAACCCATCCTAGCTAATTTTCAATTTGTTTTAAGACCAAACGCTTACTTAAGGCCCAAATAATTCAAAACCTCATCTTCCGAAGTCAACAAGTTTCAGAGAAAAGATTACATCAATCACCAATTGTAGCCGGATGTTTCAACGAAGAATCATATATATATGTTCATAAACGTTGCAGAATAACAAGGTAAACACGGCGGGATGGTCATTTTTCTTCGATTATGTATGCACGTAAAATTCAATAAAATCAGAGATAACTTTATAAAGAAAATTACGAAGCTGGAAGGCTCAGTGGACATACTCTGAAGAAATAATATGCTCGAACAGAACTTTGACCATGTCAATGCCACGCTTCACTCTCAGCAGATTCCTTGTGTGGCTACCTGCTTTTCTTACACAATCGGTTTCGATATCACCATCCATCATCAATGGCAGCACCGATATCGATTTTGACGCCTCAACAAGATCATTAACCTGAAATTAAAAATGATAAAAAAAACCCAGAGAATCACATTGATCAGAAGAGCATATATTGCACAACGCACGCTCTAGACTTTCATGATTCGTACAAATTAAACTTAATAAGCACACTTAACGAGCTACTCGTGATTCCGGTACAAACACGAGTAATTTATCTAGAATTAATATCACTTGAGCAATTAAAAATTGGGAAAAATTCCACACGTTGAGTATTCGAACACAGGGTGTAAAGAAAAAGTAGCATATTCGACAAATTCAATAATAAGAAGTATAAATTACAACCACCCCTAAGGTAAGGTCAAATTACGAAAAAAACCCTTATGTTTGGATAATTACAACTACCCGTCAGCTATAAATCTTCTTACACGTCCACCCTTATGGTGTCAAATTCAACATAATCTTCTAGATTCCGTAAAATGTTCTATAGTTTGTGCTCGCTTTGTTCAAAAATGCAGTTTCTAATGTACCGCAATCTGATATATACAAGTCAAAGAACACATCTTATGATCATTTTGCTTCAAATAAAAAACGGGTACAAACTTGATTATTCTACATAATCTAGAAGATTCCATTAAATTTGTCGCCACAACGTTGAGCGTGTAAAAAGATTCATAGTTGAGGGGTCGTTGTAATTACCCAAATAGGAGGGGTTTTTCGTAATTTGACCTTACCTCCGGGGTGGCGCAGTAATTTACCCAAACTTGAAAAAACAATTAATCAACGAATTCAGAACCGAAAACAGCTAGTTCGATTAAATTTCACTCATTTACACAATCAACACAAAAATTCAAATGAAAGAATCAACAAATTCCACATCAAACAAAAACGCAGATACGCTAAAATAAAACTGACTACAAAAATAATGAAAGAAAAATAAAAAAATTACTTTGGCAACGTAGTCGAGCTCGGCGAATTTGAAAGCGATGCCGAGGCAGCGGAATAGAGGTGATACGAGGGAGCAGGCCCGAGAAAAGGGGACCAATTCGAGCCGGGCTTCTTCTCCATCCGGACATTGATTTATCTTCTCCGCCAATTCTTTGAACGCCTCCGCCATTACCTTTAGGGTTTTTGCTCCCTCCATTGATCGATCGGTGGCTGAAGGCGGTGGAGGCGGAGGTGGCGGTGGCGGTGGCGGTGGCGGAGGGGGCGGGGTTTAGCTAAAAGATCGAATAATTCGGGCGTTTGATTGACGCCCTTTTTTTTCAACTGTAGACGACGGATTAAATAAAAAAGGTGATATAATTACATCTAGACCCCATCTAGTTTGAACAATTTAGTATGCATCCCCTAAGTTCTGATAGTAGTTAACACTTAGTCCATTTAACAATTTTTTTTTTTTATTTGGAAAATATCATTTTTACCCTTGACCAAATTTCCGCCGATTCCGATCTGAAAAGTTCCGATTTTGGAACAAATTTTTCATTCAGACTTCCAAAATTCCGATTTTCAAAATTTTCCTATTATTTTGGATTGAAATTGGAATTATATATATAAAAAATGAAATTTCCGATTTTCAGTCGAATTTAATTACCGAAATTAATTCCGAAAAATTCCATTTTTTTCCCAAAAAATACACCTATAAATAAAATATATTATATAATATTTATTTGAAGTGTTTTTTTTTGTTTTCTGAAATAGTAATCTAGTTTAAGTTTTGTTTTAGGATTTAGACATATTGAATTGTTGTTAGAAGTTCTATTGGATATTATGATGTGTTTATTTCTATTTTTATTTTTTAAGTACTTATTAGTTTTACTTTTATCGACCTGGATGTTCTTATTTTTGGAAAATTATGAAATTTTCTGCCAAGTTTTGAAATATTAAAATTTATATTATTTTCAATTTTTTTTTCTAAAATTTCCACCCTTTTTGGAATTGGAATGAATTTTTAGACTCCGGAAATTTTGGAATGAAATTGATTTTGTACTTCAGATTTTTTTTTAAAATATTTTCGAAAAATGCTAATTCTGGTCCAATTCATCAGACTTTCACCTGTATACCCCTCATATTTCAAAAAATATTACAAATACCTTCTTTAAAGTTTCATTTGAACTATTGAACTTAAATTCATTAAATAATAACTGTTATTTTTATTAAATGAGAAATAATATAATTACTTTTTTTATATAATAAATTTATAAGAAAACAACGATCAATTATATGGTTTAATATCAAATGACAATAATTTTCAGTGGAGGTCATTAAACTACTCCCTCCTTCCCTAATTATTTGACGTTTTAGGCATGGAAAATTTTCCCATTTTATTTGACGTTTCAGAAATCCAAAGCAAATCTTTTTTTTCTTTTCCATTCCTACCCTTACTGTTGAGTTTTCCAACTCTTTAATGTTACAGCTATTTTTTCTTTCTTCAAGAAACACTTAATGAGAAAGTAATAATATTAAATAAAGCTAAAAAATCTAAACACAATAAATACCCTGTTGTTCTACTCACGTAAACACAAAAAATGAAGACAGAAGACTCCATGGAAGATGAAGATTCCATGAATTTAAAACTCAAACATTTGTTAGAAGAAATCCCAAGCAAAAAACCTGCAAGGGATTTTGATTTGAACATAGTTGCAGATCGAAATTTTGATTTGAATAAATTTCCGGATGAAGGAGAAGAAACTGTACAAAACGAAGAAATTCGGCAAGTCGTTATGATAATGCTGAAAATTTATCTTCCCAACTTCTATTAAAATTTCAATCAATCTCACCTCTTTTTTTTTTCTTGTCTTTTTTTAAGTGAAGAAGAAGAAAATGGTGCAGGTCGTAGAAGATATGTATGGTATTTATGCAGTCGAGAATGAATACAACCATTTGTGACTGCCAGATAATTATTTTTCTGCAAATTTTTTTTTTCTTTTTCTTTTCTCTGTTTCCTGGGTGACGAGTTGATATATAAGCCATATATATGAGGTGTTTAATTCTTATCAAGGCAAATGCATTGTTTTTTCCCCCCATTAGTTCTATTTAAGAAAATCCTTTAGCTAAGTGAATAAAAAAATATTCAACAGTAGCATGGTGCTTCATGAAAGCAGAATACTATGTCGAATAAAGAAGTAAATTTTGGTACTTATGCAAAAAGACCTTAAACATTGTTGATGTTGCTCAACAGGGAGTACATTTGACATGCACAACATCAAGCTACAAATGAAAATTGCATAATCTAGAAACATAATTTATCCTAAATAATTAAGAATTTCTTGTACTAACTCACGATCACATTTCAGTTGAGTTGGAAGTCGGCCCTCTCTTTCTAGCATTGCTTTACTCATATGTGGGATCTTGAACTTGTTAGAACCTTTTCCTCGCATTATCTCTATCATGCACGATTGCAATGTTAGGAATATACGGTTGGACTTTCTCGCCGAAAAACCTTCAAATGCATTTACAACCGCATTAATAAGTTCATCAACATTTTTAGGTGACTCCTTGTATTGCAATGATTGAATTGCACTGAAAAATCCAAGATCTAAAACATTCAATTCCGGAGAGTTTGGAGGTTGACACATCAAACGAATATCAAATCCATCTTCTTTCGCTACTCGGCAAAACTCAATATCATCTTGGGGAATATGTGTTCTTGCATTGTCTTGTTGAATGAATATTGGATATCTCGAGTCTTCTCTTGGCCATTTTTCCTTGATTGTTGGTATGACCTTTTCAATCAAGAATGACCTTATAACGTCCCTTTTCACCGAGGCAATCGGTTTCGTCTCTAGTGTACCCGCAACTCTATTCACACTGTTTCTTTTAGCCGGCTCTCGTGTTACAAGGGGAAACACGCCTATTTTTCCCGAGAAAGTCTCATTTCCTTGTTCATCAAACCTTGGACGAGCAATAGTAACTAAAAACATAACCTTGCCAATGAAATTTTTACTTTTACAAGTACGTATCGGGTCTTCTTCCTCGGGCAACAAATAGTAATGCTCTGATTTTTTTGTCAATTGGAACCATTTTTCATCGATATGAATGATGTTATACATTCCACGAAAAGTTGGATCATGGTGTATGTTGGGTTTCGGGCACGCATACGCAGCGGAAAACAAAAATTTTACGTGATTTAAACCACTTTAAAGCACACAAGTACATGCCCGACAAATTAAATCAATTAATTGCGTACCTTTGCGCTTCCAGCGAAATTAAAAACAACATACATGCTAATAAATTTAACCGAATTTAAATCAATTAACATGCTCGCAATTTAAACCAAATAACATGCTCGCAACGATTTAATCGATTACACATAATCACATAAAATCATACAAACACAAGCATGAAATCATAGTTTAAATTAAACCCTAAAACAAAACTAGGGTTTCGAGTATTTACCTCTTGACGCGTGAGGTAGGAGCGAACGATTCGTCGTGATTACTACGGAAACCAATCCGTAGAATCGGGGCAGCAATGGAGCAGCAGCAGCGGCGGTGTGGCAGCTCACGGCGGCGCGTGTACAGCACGCGCGGTTGTGCGAGGCGGCGCGTGGGGCAGCGTGCGGCTTCGGCTCGTGCGTTGCTCCTCGATTCTTCGATCTACGGTCTTCCTCCTCTCGGATTTCACCTCGTATACTTCGATCTACTAAATCGTGGCACTAGACACGAAGTAGTTAGAATAAAACGGAAAGAAAATAAAGGAGAAAGAATACCGAACAAAAGCCGGCCGAGGAACGGCCGTTTCCGGCGACGGAGCGGCGGTGGTGGCGCGGTGGTGGCCGCGCGGAAGAGAGGCCGAGAGAGAGAGGGTGGCCGATTAGGGTTAGGGTTTTTGTTGTGTATGTGTGCTAGGGTTATAAATCATGTATTTATAGTCCCTAGCATGAAACCCTAGCGGGCTTAAGTTGGACTGGGCCCAACAGCTTAAGCTCGTTAGTTTCTTTAATCGCTCGTATCTCTCAATTCAATGATCGAAAAATTGTAACGATTACAATTTCCGAGTCATTATAATTTTCTCGTCATTACGAGTGCCATCTCTTATTTTCCAACTTTCCAAAAGTGGAAACCCTAGTCCAGTGGACTTTCTAAATTTGGAAACTTCCCGATTTAGAAAGTTCACTAACATGTTCGCTTATTCTTTCCCTTTTCTTATTCTCATTCATAATTCCAAATTACGAATGTTGGACTCAATCATATTGACTTCCAATTATGCAAAGATAAACTATTTTATCTCTGACCGTTTATTCAAAGATCTCATGTGCACGAGCAGTGTGACCCTCGATGGTTCAGGTGTAAGCTAGCCGTGGGCCCACAACTCTTTGTGGTCAAAACTCGTCCCCTTCGAGTTACAATTAAGATGAAGCTCGTTTCACCTTAATCACCCAACGAATCAAGATTGGCGTCTAGCAACTACGCGTCATGATTCCCTAGATACAAATGAAGTGCCTGCAAGAACCTTCAGATATAGTTAACGTACAGTACGGTCCCTTCGATTCATATGTCCCGATTGAACTAGAGGCATTGGTTCATCGAGACCTCTTTATATGTTCAATAACGGTGCGATCGTTCTAAGTGTTGTAATCCTTACGTGCATGACTTAAAGAATCGAATTCTCTAATCATCACTTAGTCAGCTCTGGCCAGAGACTTAGAATGAATACAAACTTTCAGAACACACAGGACATCCAAGACTATTCTAGCGATCGAATCCCCGACTACAATGCACAGACCTCCCACTAGATTTCGGACTGCACGAACACTGGCCCTTGGGATGGTCCTCGGTGGAACTCAGGGACAGGTCACGATACAGCTGGTCCTCTAGTGAAGTCACGGTGATGTCTAGGTCATAAGGACTAATGGTGTACAACTATACCATAGATATCTCTACTCGATTATTGGGAACCACTTAGAGATTTCTAGGGTGAGGGAGTTCAGTGAACTCGTCAACTTACGAGCACCCACTTGTGCATGCCGATATCACAATACCGTTTACTGATGAGATGCAGTACACATACACTAAGTGCTAGTCTTAATGGGAAAGGCCGATATCCTCATTAGTGGCGTAACCCTTCGACTAGGAACACGTTTAACAGTTATAATACTTAAGTAAATATCTCACGATCCTAACGATCAATTACTAGTACTTGTAATAACTGTAAGGACTATATCTATGCTTGTGACAAAGGGACAAAGATATAGAATGCCAATGTGTTTTATCATTAATACGAATAAAGGTTCGTTTATTACAATAATAAATACGAAAGACCACAGCCACAAGTTGGCTTGTTGGTCACCTACTCTAACAGTGTATGCTATCACCCTCAAGCATTGACAAACAAAATTGTAGTCGAGATCTTTTGTTTTCCTCCGTTAGAAACGGTTTTATAGCATTCGAATGTCGTCGTAACTCTCGTGACTTTAAACGTCTAAACAATGTGCTTTTCGCCATGTTCAAAGAACAAGCTAAAGACTCCAAAGTTGTCCGCCGATGCAGAGGAATCCCACGAAATTGATCCATGTTTATTTCAATTCTCTTTCGACCACAATTTCTTGTCTTTTTATGCGATACATCATCATGTGCACCTTTTCCTGATTGTCTCCAAATATGTTGAACAGTTCGGATCGAAACTGAAAATTGTGACGCCACTATTTTTGTTACTCCTTTCTTCAAACTTCCGTTGATACTTTTATGTTGCAACACGTTATATATAGCTCTACGTTCTGCATTGTTTAAATGTTTCACTTTCCTTGTAGCACTTGGTATCTGGAAAGATTCTTCGTTTGCATTTTCATCTTTTACAGAGTGGAAAGAAGCAAGACAGAACAAAAAAAATATGAGCAAAGAATGAATACTTTTCATGAAGAATACGTAAAGGACAAGTACCTATATTGAAGACTTCTTCTAAGTTATCATCCATGAAAGTTTGTAATCCCATCTCCAATGATATGTCATGTTCCACGAACGGTTCCCTGTTTAAATCTAGCAATGAACGATCCACTGAAAATATTGCATTCTCTCGAGAATTTAGATCAACATTGGGGTCGTCAACAAAATCTGCAGCAACAACATTGAGGTCTGGCAAAACAAATTCTTTTTCTTGTCTCATGCTTTCATTATTTACGTCACACTGTGATATTTCTTTATTTTGATTTAGTTCAACAAAAACTCTCATTTTACTTTAATATTGAAGGCTGAAGTTAAACCTTCTTTTATAGATTAATTTTGGTGGGAAAATTTTAATCTTCGATGATCGAAATTTTTAATTTTTAAATTCAAACTAGGTTTTTGAAAAATTTCAGCTTGATATCTTAGTGGTGAAAATTTATGTCTTAATTGTAGCGGGGATTGAAATTTTCAAATCAACTTCTGTCAATTTAATTTCTAGTTGAAGTGGAATACTCCATTCTTCACATACTGTCATTGATATTCTAATTAAGTGGTTATGATTTGTTTTTCTTTTTTTATTTTTCTTGAATAATGAAGAGTCTCTGTTAATTTGATTTGTTTGTTAACATTCTCGGCAGAAATCAAATGGTCAAATGTATTATTGAGATAATCTAGGAATAATTAGTTAGAGAGGAAGGGCAATTTTGACCTTTATTCTTAAATTAAAGACTAATTAATAAGATTCTTAATCTGTGTGAAAAATCCTTAAACGTCAATTAAAGTGGGAAGGAGAGAGTATAAAGGAACATATAGCCAAACTTGAAGTGTGTGTGGAAAAAGAGCCAAAGAGGGAGTATGACCGGCAATCAGACAATGTAAGTCGAGTTCGGGTTGACTCGAGCACATATATCATCGGGGCTCATTACTATGAGGTCAAGTTCACAAGCATTGAACCTCATGACTGTAAACTTAAATACGGCTCATGTATTTTTTTCGAGTTTCCAAGTATTCATACAAGTCAAAATAAGATAAAAATCATAGTCCGTTTCTTGAAACAAATGAAGTTTAATGTTGCAAATGAGTAATCATCCATAGCTCAAGCTCAAACTCGTGTCCAATTTACGAGCTCGAGCTCGTCGAACATTTATTTTCCAGTCCCAAGCTCAAGCTCTAGTGCATTCATCGAGCTATCCGAAACATATTAGTAATTTAAAACGAACTACGTCGCCGTTTGGATTTGATTCTATACACATCTACGTACATGACTAGACTTGCAAAACGTAAAACCCGCGGCAGAACTCAACACGTGTCCTCACATCTCTCCACCTGTTTTGTCACAAGAGCTACAAGCCCGCCACGTGTCAACTCTTGTAATAATTTTAAATTAAACTACCCTTCTCACCACCTCTTCATCTTCTTCTATATATTCTTTTCCAATATAAATGTAATATCTGATCAGCACAAGCAATAAATATTATTCAGAAAAAATAAAATAAAGAAAATGGTGAGCACATCGGCAAGAAGTGTGGCAGCTCCATTGCTGTACCTGAACTTGATTATGTACTTCATAGTGCTTGGTTTCTCCAGTTGGTGCCTCAATAGGTACATCAATGGTCAAACTGCTCACCCAAGTAAGTCTGTATTTAATTTAAGGGAATATTGTAGTTTTGGTCCTCTATGTTGATTTATTTAGAAATTTAGTCCTTTAACTTATCATGTTTTACATGCAATAATTTTGCAAATATAGTAGTTTTAGTCCTATTTTGAATTTTTTTTTTTTATTTTATGACTCAGACAAATAAAACTTTAACGCATTTTACTTATATTTACTTATATTGATGCTTGGAAATTTATAAATTCGACATCTAACTTTATCATTATATTTTGTAGAACTTTAATTATGTCAGGTGACTCATCTATAAATCAAATTTTATAATTTTTGAGTGTCTATATAAATAAATTTCTACGAGTTTGTTAGGTACATAATTAAACGACGGCTAAAATTCAAAGTTCGAGTGAAATAGGACTAGACAGGCTAAAATTCAAAGTTCGAGTGAAATAGGACTAAAAATACTAATTTTGCATAAGTATTGCATGTAAAATTGAAATATGACAGCTTATAGCACTAAATCTCTAAAGAGACCAACATATACATATAGGACCAAAATTAAAATTTTCCCTTGATTTAATTTGTTTCTTGATTTTTTTAGTATTAATTTTTTTAATTAATTTTAAATGTTTTTTTAAGGTATGGGAGGAAATGGCGCAACGGGGCATTTTCTGACTTTCTCAATACTTGCGGCGGTTCTTGGCATAGTGTCTAAAGTTGCCGGCGGCCAGCACCTTAGGGTTTGGAGGAGCGACAGCCTTGCCGCCGCTTGTTCGTCAGCCATCGTCGCCTGGGCTGTCACCGCCCTTGCTTTCGGGTAAATTATATATATATATATATATATATATATATATATATATATATATATATATATATATATATATATATATATATATATATATATATATATAGATA